GAAAAGTAGCAAAAATCGTGTGCTTGATTCTAATACTTAATGCAGAATGCTCTTGACCCACGGGCAAAAAAAATGTGACACAGATAAGGGGAAAGGAATGTGATCGGGATTTATCAAATGGATTAGGGGTCAAGTTCACGAAACATTCAAAATAGGAAAGGGACAATAGGCAACACAATTAACATACAAGGATTTAATGAGATTAACGTTACATCCCCCCCGCTTCCAGAAAAAAAATTAATATTTTTTTTTATAACTACCCTACCCTAACATTAATCATTACTATCTAAGCATGGCTTGAAGTCTTTTACATTCCATACTCCTGCTATTTTACCCTTCAAGTCCCTCAGTTCATATGTCCACGGGTTAAGTCGTTTATGTATAATAAAGGGTCCTACATATTTCGGCCCTAATTTTGCTGTATAGAATTTAGCTGCATCGGAAATAACAAAGTTTTTACGATAAACAGATTGCCCTACTATAAACTGTACATCCCTTCTCCTAAGGTTATAGTGAGCTGTCATTTTCACTGAGGCCTGAGCTATTCTATGTTTTATGTCTTTACAAAGAGTTTCAAATCCTTCTGATCTAATACTAACTGAATTTCTGTCTACGACGATGTCATTGGACTCGTCCTTAAAATTGTTTGCGCTACCATCTAACACCATTTCCCTTCCAAAATTCACGAAATAAGGGGAATTATTAAGCACTTCAAGTCTAGAGGACCTGATGGCACAAGCTACTTTTGGCAATAAGCTACTCCAAGTTTTTTTATTGTCTTCGACATACGATGACAACACAGTTTTCAGAACCTTGTTAACGCGTTCTGTTGGGTTAGCTTGCGCATGATAATATGGTGTATACCTTATGTTGACGTTATAAGATGACATTAATTTGGTGAATTCTTTAGATTTAAATTGAACACCATTGTCTACAATGATGGATGTGGGAACGCCGAATAAAAGGAAAACTTGTTCTTCAAGTTGTTTTACGATAGGCACAGCAGTAGCTTTCCTCAATGGGAAAAACAGGGGAAATTTAGAATAATCTACCACAACCAATATGTGTGTGTGCCCTTGTGTAGATCTCCAACTAGGTCCGCCGAGATTATCTCCCAGGGACGTTTTACGTGGGATCTACCTACCATAAAACCTGCTGGAGCTTTGTTGTCAGCTTTGCAAGTTGCGCATATTTTACATTTGGTAATATATTTTACTACATCGGCATGCATTTTTGGCCAGTAATACTGGTTTTTTAACCTGTGGTAAGTTTTGTAGATGCCGAGGTGTCCTGATGTTGTCGTGTCGTGGGATAAAGAAATTAAATTTAACCGTTGCGGTTTCGGAATTACCTTTTTCCAAGAATCGATGTCGGGTTCGGAAAGAGTTGGATATTTGCATGGAACATGTTTGTAGATTTCATTACCATGGATTCTCCATTTGGGAAATTTTTCAGGTTTATTTTGGATAGAAGTGAATAAATTTGAGTACCATTTATCGTTGACCTCTTCGCTAATTACCGGAATATTATGAATGATGTCTAATTTTGGTACGGCTCGCGAAAGACAGTCAGGCACAGCATGTTCTTTGCCTTTTCTGTGCGTGATGGTGAAATCATACTGTTGTAAGGCTACGGCCCACCTACTGAGGCGGCCTCGCGGATCTTTCAAGTTGCTCAACCAAACCAGGCTATGATGATCCGTCACTACTTCGAATTGCGCTCCTTCCACATAAGGACGAAGACGATCGATGGACCAGAGAACTGCAAGACACTCCTTTTCTGTCGCGCTGTAATTCCTTTCACTCTTGTTCAATGATCTGCTTATGAATGCGATGACTTTCTCCCCTTCTGGATAATTTTGGGACAGTACCGCGCCTAGACCAAAATCTGAAGCGTCGCATTGTATGGTAAAAGGGCGTTCGAAATCGGGGCAAGATAACACGGGTGCTGTAATTAAGTGTTCCTTAATTAGGCGAAAGGAATCTTCGCAATCTTCTGTCCAGGAGAATTTAACATCTTTCCTGGTTAAATTGGTAAGTGGTGCAGTGAGTGTGGCAAAGTTTGGTATAAAACGCCTGTACCAACTAGTCATACCTAGAATTCTCCGTAATTCTTTTAAATTTTTAGGTGTTGGAATATTTAAAATGGCAGAAACTTTGTCGTTGTCTACATGCAAACCATTTACATCAATAACGTAACCAAGGTATTTAAGCTGGGGACGACAAAAGTTACATTTCTCCGAAACACACAAATACTTACCGAACAAACAAGTACAACAAATGATACAACATATACTACAATCAGAGATTCACCTCTGAAGCAAAACACATTATCACGACCAGAGCTGTTGTAAGTACCATAAAAATGTACTGAAGTATTAAGTACCAGTATATAGAAAAATATAACAAGTATTAAGTACCAGTACCAATATTTCAAGCGGTACTTAAAATTTTAAGTACATAGTACTTAAATAGAACAAAATGAAGTACAGACTATTCAGTACTCCTCACGGTACTTAAATGAAGGATTGAAGTATTAAGTATTGGTAATTACTGAGTACAGGAACAGTGCCGTTACAAGTACCATAAAAATGTATTTCAGTATTAAGTATCGATGTACTTAATAAGCATTAAGTACCAGTATTTACGTTTAAACGCTGTATATTAAAAAAAATTTATTAACACATAGCTATAGATATACAATACAATACAAGACACATTAAGTATTAATATGTAAATAAGATATCTTCAGGAAATAGGAATAAATGTAATTCTACGTTTTGGGAAACTATACTTTGTTTCCTTTTTTAAAAACAATACTTAATTGATAAAAATATTAAACAAGGTAGGTATTACTTAATATAATTTAATTTGTTTTAATCTTATCAAAGGTGTTCTGCTTCGAGTGAAAAGGTCCAATATAACAAATAAACATGCGCGTTTGGGAACGGCCCAAATGCTAGCGTATAAGAAACAACAAACGTTTTATGTTACCTTAAAGTAAAGCACCTCGCCAAGTTTCAGACGAGAGTTAATAAACATTTATTTGAGATTTGCTTTAAGGACTACCAACTTTTCAAAGTTTTGGTCACTTAAAGCATTTCTTCTTGGGGCGTTCACAATTTGAGCAAAAGAAAAGAGGCGCTCCACGGACGCCGATGATGGTAAAATTGTGTTGAACTTTAAAAAAACCTGTTTGATATATTTATAATCGTTCAACATATCTAAAGTAATTCTTGTATCGTTCAAATATTTCAAAACTTCTAACTCGCTCAAGGAAGCATTTGTATTAGCATCTATATCATTTTTCAGTCTTGGTAGTTCTATTTCGGATTCGTCCTCCTGAAAATCGAAAAAAGGATCATCTGACTCCGATACAACTGTTACTTTTTTTTTTGTTTCTTCTATAAAACTTTCGACTGCGGCAACGACCCACCCTTGGATTTCTTTAAACGAAGGAATATCATTTGTAGTCACCTTAAAGGCACTGTACCATCTCATTTTAAATCTTGGACATACAACTGCCGCAATCACAGCAGTTTTTGAATTCATGTTCAAGGAAAATATATCTTTAAACCTTTGCTCAACGGAATTAATTATTGCCTCCAGAGGTGAATATAGTTGTTTTATCTTTCCAGACGATTTTATTTTTTGCAGTTTTGTTTTCATGGACACTAAGCTCGGAAGCAAATATCCATAATATGTGTTTTGCTCCCCTTGAAGGAAATCCAGTGTTTCTGCAAGAGGCTGCATGATTGTGATATATTCTTCTAGAAATGATACTTCGCTTTGCTTAAACCCTGGTATCATGAGCTTATCACACAAAGGGGCTAATTTTTCTTTTATAGAAACGATTTTACATACAGCATCATATGTTGAATTCCACCTAGTAACTCCTGGGATAGTCAAATTGTGACCGAGAAAATGCTTGATTACTTCTGCAGACTTTGGGCGACCGGATTTGTTCCATAACTTAGAACACTTGGAAAAAATTTGTGTATTTTTTAGTCTTAGTGCATTAGATATCTTCAATGAATTATTATAATCCGTTGTGGCTATAAGATTTATGGTATGTGACGCGCAACGCACATGTTGAGGTAAATATTTCTTTTCTACGTCCACCTGTGTTTCGCTTAAATCAAGAGTTAAAAACGTACAGTACTCATCGTCACTTTGAATGCAAGGTTTCATCGTATCAGAATTATCTTCCTCGTCGTCTTCTTCTATACCAGTATATTCGTCATTTATTGTATCGATGTTACAACCAAACTCTTTAAAACATTTGACAAAATTAGAACCATTGTCAGTCACAGTGGCCAAAATTTTATTCGTATCAAGATGGAACCGTTTATGTATATCATCTAAAGCCTCAGCAACCCTATCGTAAGAATGTGTACCCGCAAACCTTGAGCATGCTAAGGCCACAGAACGTCGTTGCAGATCTTCGTTGAGCCAATGACAAGTCACGCCTAAGAAACTACGGCTTTTTGAAGACCAAATGTCTGCCGTGGTACACACATGGCCTACTTTAGAAATTTCCAGTTTCAGATCATTGCAAGTGTTCTCATACATTACATTAATTTTTTTAACTGCTACTGAGCGATCCATAATATGAACATTCATACCTTCGAACATGTTTTTAAAACTATCATGCGAAATGATTGAAATTGGTGACATTGTGTCAATTATAACTATTATCTCTCATCAAACCAACTTTGCTATTTTTTAATAATGAATTACTTGCTTTTAAGTTTTCTCTGCAAGATTTCATATACTTAAATACGTTCTTTGACGATTAAGTTATCTTTCTTTTTTATATTTGAATACATATACTTATTTGATCGTTTTTAAGGTGTGATAAAATTTTA